TTTTTTTTTCCCCTGTTGCTGTTGTGTTCTATATCTGTTCTCTCCAGGCTTCATGGACCCGGCCCGAGAAACAAGAGGTATAAGATTATCAGACCTTTAGCCAACCTTCTTAGTTCTGGGTTTGTTTTATAAGCATTACAGATTAACATCTCTCTAGTCCAGTAATCATGCGAACTAAACCAGCCTTAATAATATGGATAAATTAAAAAGCAATACAAAAAGAATCAGCTAGTAGAGTTAGAAGTCGCTTAGCACGTAGCGATGCATTTTTGAATGAGCAAACGAGCTGTGTTGGGAGTGAGTAAACATCAGTAATTAGTAGTCCTGCTTGTCACGTAAAAGAGGAGGAAAAAAGCAGTGGGGGGGGATTGTAGCAGGTGTGAAACCTGACAATACCGTTTTCTTCCACACTACAAGTGTGTGTCATACTTCTCACCTAGAATTTCAAACTTAGCCACGACATGTATTCTGGGATGGTAATTTTTTTCTAAGCATAGCATCTCCACTCTAGCCAACTCATCTGTTTGCTCATAGCACGTCTTAGGTTTGATCTTCTTCTAAAGAACAACTGCATCACATTTCCATTTCTAAGCAGTGCAGTTAAATCTTTCCAAGTTACATTTCTCCAGAAAATACTCCCAACTGCCAAATTACTGTTATTGGTCTTTTTGCATTGGGTCAGTGATTTGCAAGGGTCAGTGATTGGATGTAGGGATAATATAATAACTCCTTTTGGTGCAAATGTGATTTGTTGTTGTTTTATTTCGTGTGCAGTGATGTATGTAAATAATAATATTAATAATTTACCTTAACATGTACCTGATTTAATCTATTCTTGCTTCTAAATGGACCAGAAGTTTGTTTCTCAGGCAAATTGTATGAGTCAGGAGTAGAGCGGCATTAGTTGTCAGAGCTGGATGAGTGCAGTCTGTGCTTGTAGGATGAACATTAGGGGTATCCTGTTTTTTTCATTTTGTTTTGAAAGCTGACTTTGGACCACATCGCTCACTGTGTTTTGAGACAGCAAAACCCTGGTTTTTTTCAGAGGGACCTGATAAGACAATTCCCATCCCTATTTTGAAATAGTCTATTGAAACTTACTAATTGTGGTAAATGGAGACATCACATATTCAGACCAGCTTGTATGGGAATTTGCATAGTTGTACATCTTAAGGCCTCATGTTAATCCCTGTTGTCTCCCCCCTTTCCTCTCCCGGAGACACATACACACACACAGAAAGACAGTGTCTGTCTCAAGCCTTTTATTAATGGGAGCTCTAATAGCATTCAGTTTACTGCCTGTAAGTGTCTTACCTGTCCTGCCTTTTATCTGAATGGGCTTCTGTGAGATTTTTTTTGTACCTTATATTTGCAACTTCTGTAGACATGCCTTTAAAATAGCTAGCATGGGGGGCTGTAAGCAGCACATTCGAGCAGCGGGGAGTTCAGTTGCCAGGCAGCTGAGTGAATGCTTGACATTAAATCTGTTTCATTCTTACTACTGCCAAATCAGCTAGTTTAAGGAAATCTTCACTTGTACCAACAGACAATGGATGTTAAATCTTGCTTTTCTTGCCTTGGAGGTGAAATTACTGTTGGCTGCTGCTTCCTCTAAATCAGAGTCAGCTCTAATTCTGCACAGCCCATCAGGCCTTAGTTCTCCATTCAAGTCCCACTGCAGAATGGGTGGAAGTCATCCCTTGTCAGCAGATACTAAGAAAACAAACGGTTATCAATAACAGATGCTAAAAACCCGGTAGCAATGCAAATTATACCTCAGTTCCAACAGAAATTAGTGATTCTTTTTAATAACTGGAGGTTAGCACAGCCTCCTGTAGATAAGGACTGCAGACAAGCCCTGGTTAGTGAGTTGAAAGCACAGGGCTAAGAGCCAGCACTCATCCATGTCCAGTGGAATATGCAGCTCTGGTCAGTATTTCCAGGTGCTGTTCTGTTATAACACTAGCTATGTGGAACGTAGGCAAGGACTATATGTGATTGTATAAAGCTAAGTTGCGGGTCCATTTTTGAGAAAGGACTGAAAAATCTTGAAGTTAAATGCAGTAAAGGCTTTTCCCATCTGTGTGTCCTCTTCCTCTTCGGCAATGAAGTATTGAAATCTAGGCCAGCTGTTTACACACTGTGTATGAAACGTCATTGTCAACATTTGGGGGAGAATACCTAAGGGTAGCTTGTAGCAGTCAGAGATATGAAGAGTCGTCATATGCTTTTCTGTAGGGAGGCAGTTGATAAGTTACTACCTTCATCTCTTAAATTTTCTCATCATTTCTGTGAAACATTCACAGTTACTCCAAACCATATAAACCAAGGAAGCTGTGTAAAAGAGCTATAGGCTTCTGCATATCTGGCTCACAAGTTTCTACCTAACCTGTGTCTTTAATAGCCAGAAATGGTTAGCATTTGGTGGATACTCTGAAATGTACCAGAAGAAAACAGGTAGCATGCTTTCTTTGGTGAATATTTCTCCCTTCTTTGAAGTATTTTACATAATATTTCTTTCTCTTTCCTTGTGCAGTTTGCATTGAGAAGTGTAGCTTCATCTTTAGCTTTGGTTGCATTACTTAAAAAGTTACTGTTTTATCACGACTGCCTAGCTTTGTTTTGTTTATTTTACTGGGCCTTGGGGAAATGTGGGTGAAGACAGGTAGCAACAAATGTAAAGCTGCTTTTGCTGGAGTAATCGTGCATTGATATTTCGACATATTATACTATTGCCTACTGAAAGGATCGTAGGAACAAGTACTTAGAATATCCCTCTTCCTTATGAGCTAGGAGAGAAGCTATGAGCCTTTACAGTTCTAGAGGCTTGATGCTTTTGGATCCCACTGCAATGGTTTCAGAAATGAATTGGGTTTTGGGAGCAAATCACAGGCCAAGCAAAATGATCCACAGCATAGCGAAAAAATACTGAAGCACAATTCAGTTGCATAAAATACCGCAATGGACTAGTACCATGTTAAGAGATCCTTTGTTGGTTCTAGTTAAGTGATGTGTGCAACACCATGTCTTTATGAAATAAAAAATGGTTCCCAACAGTGCAAGGAACCAGCCACAGAAGAGAGGGTGTAGCCACTCACTTGTGGCATTGGTCTGGGATTGCAGTAGACCTGCCTGCTGTGGAGGAATCCAGTTTCAGAAAAGAAAAGGACAGTGATGTGGGATGGGATCCCTTGGTGGTTGCAGTCACTTGGGATTTCTGATGGCCTGGTTTTATTTCCTTGCCTTTTTGTCATCAACATCCCTGAACTTGCCTGCATATGTGAGCAATTTCTCAACTGGTGTGTAACGGGCATATATGTGGCTCACTCTAGAATTTTCTCAAGTTTGAAGCAGGGTCACCTTTAGCAACATTGCTTGGTTTTCTTCCCTTGTTCATTGTGCCTTGCTCAGCTCAGCGTCACAATTGGAAAAAAGTCCTGAGGTTTCATTTTGCCTGATGACCAGTTCAGCTCTGAGGTCTGCATCTTTTCGTACTTGTGAACAGTGGATGTTGAAATAAAATAAGCATTGGTAAGGGAAGAGTAGGGCGTGAATTCTCTTATTGGAAACACAGTATCAGTTAGGGCAGTTTTTTTACAAGAGGGCGAGCTTGCAGAATTGTTTTAACCAGAGCAGGAGCTCTGCAGTTGTTACTCAGGGAAGATGCTTGGTATTATACAACTGTCCACAGAAACATAACACCTGACACTTTGGTCCTTTCTCAGATGAGGCCCAGCACAGGTTATTTCATTTTCCCCCATCACGTGGGTGCCTTGGAATCAACTGCACTCAGCCCTGTGCAACAAGGAGTCTTCTTGTTGCTGTTACAAATGCCACTCCATGCCCATGATTTGGTGCCTGCTTTGAGGTGGTCACTTCTGAAGCACAGCTGACGGGTTGGTGGAAGACAGACTTGCATTCATTCTCGTCCCCTGACTCCCTTTAGTCTGCAGTACAGACTCAGAGCTCAGCCTCTGACTTTCTCTTCCTTTCCTGCCAGACCCTGGATGGGCGCATCGTAGTACGTAGCCATGCCCGGGTGTCGTCCCTGACGCTTAAGGAAATTCAGTACACAGATGCCGGAGAATATGTATGTACAGCCAGCAACACCATCGGGCAGGACTCCCAAGCCATGTACCTCGAAGTGCAGTGTAAGAAAGGAGGGGAGGGGTTCCTGTCTTTAGAGGGGAACTGTCTTTTTATTTACTTGTCCTCTAATGAGAATGAAGGACGCCCAGCTACAAAAACGTACGAGTGACACAGGAGGCTGTAGATCTGCTTGTCTGCAGTCTGTCGCATTAGGCTTCTTGAAGCTTATATTGTTTGGGTAGAGGGCACGCGAAGCAGCTCAGGCTGGAGTAAGTTTGTTGGAGATGTAGGTTGCTGTGTGCATACATGCCAGTGGTTGCACTGGTTGTCTCCAACTGGGATTTTGTGTGCACTCTACAAAGAATATGGGCCTGAGATCCCTCAGTGCTCCTGCATTGCAGGCTAGCTGAGGAAGGCAATGTAGATGCCACAGTCTTATCCTTTAGCCTGTCAGTGACACTTCCTCGAGGTGCATAACATGCTGGCTGCTCATCATACCACATTATGGTAGGAGCAAGCTTTGGGGCTGAACAGGCTCTCTCCTTGCACTTCAAGTCCCTCACCAAAATACCACCCTCTGGTATGTGAGAGCATTCTCCCTTGTTCCTACCTTAAGTTCTCTTCCCCACATTAAACTATGCCCTAGACAAGGAATCCTTAAAGCCGGGCTGACTCGCTTGTTCTAGGTGGTTTTGTGGCTCACACTGCTTTCACAAATGTGTCTTTGTTTCAGATGCCCCCAAGCTTCAGGGCCCAGTGGCTGTCTATACCTGGGAGGGGAATCAAGTGAACATCTCGTGTGAGGTATTTGCTTATCCCAGTGCTGTCATCTCCTGGTTCCGGGATGGTCAGCTGCTTCCTAGCTCAAACTACAGCAACATCAAGATCTATAACACTCCATCAGCAAGCTACCTGGAGGTAAGCAAAAGCAAGAGAAACA